CGTGGTGACACCGCCGCATACTCAGAATTTCCTATATCCATCATGTTACAAACAACACCGTGATCCAACTATGAATAAAGATCTGGAAATTATGCGTATCATGAAAATCAGACAGATGAAATACTTAGTGCATGTAATGCACAATGAGAAGTATCAATTAATTCAACTAATTTAACAAGGCAAAAGATCTCAAGGGCGTAGAAGGACATCGTGGTTGAAGAACATCACACAGTGGGCAGAAACGACTACTATACATCTATTTAGAGCAGATGTCAACAAAGTTGTACGGACCAACGTGATTGCCAACATCCACAGAGAATAGGCAGCAAAAAAACAAGATGGATTTAAGGAGGAACAATAAATGTAAATAAGAAACACAAGTGATGGAAAAAATTATGTATTTATTAAAATGGCATTAGTGGAAAATTCAAAAATGAAAAGTAGGTTTACTATAAAAAAACAGTTATAACAAAATAATTTGGGCATGAATAACAATCTGTGGAAATTAAATGAATCGTGGTAATTAAATTTTGAACATGAAGTTAGTCAAATTCCTCTCGTATTGTCTGAAGAGCCGCACTATGCTCAGGCATGTTGTTTGGGCGGTTTAGCCACACTTGTCTTTCTAATAGATTCATAGATTTTGATTGGATTGAGGTAGGGGCTGGAAGCTCGCCAGTTCATACAAACATTCCCGATGTCTTCTATTGACGGTTCTTTCATTGACGGTTCTAGCACGGTGAGGAACGGAGTTATTTTCCATAAAAATAAAATTAGGTACTATAAGTAAAGCAGATGGTAGCGCATGCTCGCCTGGGCGACCCCTTGAACCTAATTTTGGGGTATCTCGTGAAAGTGATTATGCAAAAAATCTCATAGGAATATTTTTCCGAACGAACTCGAGCTTTTTGACTTGTCTAAAACTAGTCTGGTTGTTAAAATAAATACGATAAGAAATTAATTTCTTGCTCTTTATCGACCTTAAACTTTTAACAAAAACATAAATTATAGTCGGACAGATTTCAATTAAAGATGACTAATCTACAAATTTAACTAAACGGTAGCGGCAACCGTGTAAAATGTCAGTAGTAAATTCTTACAGGGGTCATTTTTATTGCATATACTTCGCCCATGTAAATAAGCGAAAAAGTAATATAGTCCTCATAACATTTTCCCCCGTAACAATATAAATTGGTGCGGTTCACGAGTGTGTAGTGAGACAAGTTTATTGAATAGTTTAAAACATCCGCAAGCATATCAATATTTTGCTGGTCTATATATATTTACGTTCTTAGAAAGAATAGTAATGAGTGAAATATGATATTTTAGTTTATGTTTATTCGTTCCAAATTCTAATGTGCATAGGCGTAGCGTTTTCTATTTCGTAGGAATATATTTATTAAATAGACTTTATTATTAACTTTAAAATAGTTTTGAGGTAAGTAAAGTTGCGGCAAATTTATTCTTTATATAGTATTAACCCGTTAACGGCCGGTCAGTATAGAAAGAGAAATTTGTCAATTAATTTATTAGGTTGGAATAAAAACACATATTTTAAAAAAGGATTGCAATTTACAACAAAAAAGATTTTTTTTTCTCATTTTCAAGGAAAACTGTACAATTTTTAATACAGGAACATATTGCATCTTAAATGTAAATTAAATTGTAAGGTAAAAATGTTCGAAACCTTCGGGGTGTAGATGCATTCTACACCGTTTAGATAAATAAATAGTAGTACTTTTGCATATCCTACATTCTTGCACCATCGTCTCTTTTTGTAATGTGGCCAATTGTCAAATCTGGTAAAGCAAATTTAGATTAAGGTACATGTACGAAGCTTGACATTGAAGTAGCGATTCTTCACTATTATAAATGCTTTCTCATATACTGTGCACTTCTTTATCTTCATCTTTTGACCAATGTATATCAACTTGAAGCAGAGTGTAAATCAGATAATATACGAATCTATGTTATTTATTTCAAAATCGTGACGGTTCTTCAAAAGTATAGAATGCTCTCAATCTTCTTTATCAAATGTTTCTATGTACAGGATAGAAATGCTATCTAAATATAGAATGCTTTTTTATCAAAAAAGAGTGAAAAAACTTTAAAATGTATGACTTGACTCCATTGTTGGCTTTTATATTGTCTAAATATCAATCAGACTGATGTTGAATTACTACTGAGCACAAAGCAGTACGAAGAAGTATCTGTTGTTACAACTTAAGTACAAATTTGGATCTACTATTTTTGACCGGTTTTTTCTTTGGACGTTTTATCTGTGTTTCAGAGGAATATCATAATCAGAATTACCAATCACTTGTATTTCATATGTACTTGCAATATCCGATTTTATTGATTCTTCACAAATAATATTATCATCAATGTCTTTTACATAAGACCCATTCTTATCTAATCTCGATGGCAAATGAAACACTTTAAATGAGTCAGCATTTTCACAATCTGAGTATTCTTCTTACAAAGCTATTAACTATTTAGTAGTTAGTGCCATCTTTATTTCATATTTCGAGCAGTCGCCACATTGGGCATATTGGGCAGTCGCCACATTAAAGTTTGTACAACAAGAAGTTTGAAGTTTGAACATTGAAGTTTGAATAACAAGAGCCAAAATAAAAAACACTTAAATAGTGCTGTGTAGAAACTTCAATGTGGCGACTGCCCAAAAACTTACATCGGTCAAACTGGTAGAAACTTTAATAAACGAATAGCAGAACATAAAAGGGCTTTCAATAATAGAAAAACAGATTCGACATACGCACTTCACCTTCTAGATCATAATCATTCTTTTAATGACAAATTTCAAATTCTTCACATTCAAAATAAAGGCCTTAAGCTATCTTTGTTAGAATTTATGGAAATCAACAAATTAAAAAATACAGATAGATATAATTCTGAATGACCAACTTGAGACAAACAGTTGTCCCCTCCTCAACCTATTTCATTAGAGACTATAAATTGTAAACGCATGCCAAAAATAGATCACTTGAGAAAGGCAATCAGCCGAAACAGCTGTAGTGATAATAGTTAAAATAAATTTTGTGGAAGTTTGAAAACAAAGTTTTCAGTGTTTTATTGTTACGAAAAAATAAGTATTTTTCAAAGTTTTCTGTTTTTTGAAGTTCTATATTAGGTACTCTCTAATAAGATTAAAATTCTACTTTAATTTGTTAGACAACTATAAGATACCAGTCGAAAGACACATGATAATTTAATGATTATATCGGTCTTAAATTTAATTTTTATGTAATTACTTATGTATTTAAATAAATAGTTAAATCAATTCAATTCAAGTTAAAACAAATCAAATATAACGTTCATAGCAGACAGCAATTCTATAAATGCGTGACTGACCTATTGCCTTCGTCTGAGAGTTTTGGACCTCCCAATTTGAGGTTAAAAATATGTTAAATATATAATAAATTGACAATTATGAATAATTAGTTTTTTTATTATATTTTTCAGTTTATGTACAAAATAAATGTGGTATTTAAAACTGGGTTTCTAAAAATTCATCATAATTTATCTTTGCAACCCCAAACGGAAAAGAAAGGGAAAAATCTAGTACTGACAAATCAAGATTTGGCAAACCTATAAAAACTACTTACTAGTTTTGCTATTATTTGCACAAATAAATACGCAACATGTATTTGCACCCATTTTTGATAAAATTTATGCGTAAATACGCATGCTGGCATTGTTTCAAGGTACCCCTACCATGGTTACGCACAGAGCGAATAAGATACCTGTTAAAAGACACACGATAATGACCGACTATATCGGTCTTAGATTGAATTAATTACTTATGTATTTAAATAAATAATTAATTTTTTTTTGGTACGCCTCTGCAAAATTGATAAGTGAAATATGATTTCGTTGAAATGTTATCGTTAAGGGCTTAGTTAAGTGCGATGTTGCAAAGTAATCACCTTCAATTAAAAAATGTTTTAGTATAGTAAATTACTTTTGTTTACCAATCCCATAAATAACTTGCCATTAGTAGTATTTAAAATTGAATAAAGAAACCGTCGAAGAATTGAGATCAGGACTAAGAGAATTTTCCAAAATCTCGGAGATCTGATAGTAACGATTCCAAAAGTAAGTCTACCAAAGAATCTGAAACCGACATACTAACCCAGGGAATTGCAGTCCTTAAAAGACAATTGCAACACCTAACAATACCAAGACAAATTTTATAGGCAGAGATATTAAACCTAGTATGGAAGTGAAATACACTCTTTAATAAAGAGCACTTGGACTCAGTAGATTTTATGGAAAGGCTAGACCAGTTAAGCCTGGCTTACGAGATCGATAAACAAGATCTGCTAAAAGCATTACCATGATTGTTAGGAGACCATACGTTACTATGGAACCGAAACAACCACAAAAATTGGAAATGGTGGACAGACTTCTGCGAAGATTTTAAAAAATCTTTCGATCCCAAAAGATATTTGCTGCGACTGGAGAAACAAATAAGAAACAGAAAGCAAAGGCAGAACGATCCAGTGGATAGAGATATCACTTAGATATAAGGAATTAGATGATATCATTGACCAGAAAGAACTGGAACAAATATATAGGAACTTTTAAGTTAAAGTTGATTTAAAATACTCAAATAAAGTATTATCAAAGGAAGTCTTCAGAAGAACACACCTTTAAATACAGTACGGAAGTTATACCGATAATCGAGCTACAAGTGCAAACATTAAAAAAGTTTTTTTAAAATGTACATATTTGTAAATTATTATGAAAAAGTATATTAATTAAAAACGACACACATATACAATTAATCTGGATTAAAGCGTTTTTATACGGTAGAACTTGGTGCAGACTCTCTGTTAAACAATAGTCCAGGTTATAACTTCATTTGAAAAAATTACGATTGGAAAAATGTGGGTATTTTAAATTAACCGACATATTTACGATACATTTTCCTGCTTCATGATTTCTATATCTATAAAATTCTTTATATATAAACTTACCTGTGCAGGGTTCCGTCCTCTAAATTCCATGCTAATGCTCCCAAACACTTTTCATCTTTTACTAGAAGATCCAATACGTAATATTCTATAAAAAATTTAACATTCTGCCTTACTGCTTCCCCGTAGAGCGCGTGCAGCATGTAGTGTCCTGTAGCGTCGGCAGCGGCACAAGTTCTATAAAAACGTAACACACAAAACGGTATTTATAACAGCATAAATGGACCCATATATATTTCGGATGTAGAGAAAGAAGAAACTAAAATCTACCGAAGAAAAATAAATAGAGAAAATATGAACAATGAACTTCAAGAACTACAAGAACTAAATAAAAAAATAGACAGAGGAAAGTTTAAGCAAAAACTGAACAAAATCAGAAACGAATTCAAACCAATAATAACTATGTGCGAAGTTAAGGAGTTACTGGACACACCAGCAAGAAATATTTATGAAGGATAAAATAGTTTAACACATTTTAACAGAGAGAAGAGTCTACCAAAAATAGCCAATAATATTTTATTATTGACAATAAAGAACAATAAATTACCGGGATCGGTTCAAACAGAATCGGAGCTACTGAAGGAATTAGGAGACGTAATACTAGAACAATACATGAGCTGATAACAAAGTGTATCGTTATAAACATCACATCCTTATTCATTTATATTTAAATAATTATTTTATTTTAATTTCTTTATTAATTTATTAATTTCTTTGTCTCCAGTTTAGTTTTTACTATTTTTTATTTAAAAAGTAGTTGGTGTCCTCTCTTTCTCTGATGTCCCTCTGTTTTTCTTTTCTTCTTCTGTCTTTCTTTTCTCGTTCTGTCTGTCCCGTAGAATAAATATTCGCCCTCTCTCTTTCTGTCTGGCCGACTAAATATTCTGTTATGTGTTAACAGACAAGCTAATTTCATGATAATGCAACATTTCTGTCAATACTGCAATTCTCTTTGGTGGTCTTATCATTACACATTAGCGAACCCAACGTCTAGCTAAACATAAAGTGACACAATTTTCTCCTTCATTTTTAAAGTTTGCTAGAAATGTTTCTGTTTAACCCCAAGCCTTTAGAGAATATTTATCCTATATTTAATGAAGTTCAGAAGAGACTTGTTGGAGTATTTCGGACATGTAATGAGAGGTCCCAAATATAGGTTGCTACAAAATATGATGCAAGGAAAAATAGCAGGCAAACGCAGTCCAGGACGAAGAAGAACCTCATAGTTGAAGAAATTGCGAGATTGGTATGGTGTTGATACAAGCATGCTATTTAGGGTGGCAGTGAATAAAATTAAGATAGCTATGATGGTAACCAACGTTCTGAAAAGACATGGTACATGGAGAAGAAGAAGAGAATACGTCACTCTTACAATACCAACACTAAACGCTACAATTTACATAGACGTGATGTAAAATTCCATGTAGGTGACAAAGTCTGGAAGAAAAATAATATCCTTTTAAAAGCTGTGGATGATTTTTTGCTAAATTAGCTCCCAAATTTATTCCCTGTATTATAGATAAAGTTGTATCTCCTTTAGTATATAATCTTAAGGATCTAGATGGTAAACACCTTGGTAATTTTCATGTGTAAGATATTAACTTAGATGCTACTGATTCTAGTGATGATAAGTCTCAATAATATTGTATAATATGGTAAAGCATTATCTTTTATTATTTTACTTCTTTATATTCTGATATTTGTCTAGTTATGATAAATATATTAATCCTATTTATTTGACATTACACTAACTGTTTATATTACTATAACTATTATTTTAGTTTGGATAATTGTTTTTGATTTTGATACAATTAAAAGCCTCATCCAGCACTTTGTGTATGAACATGGTTTGTTGCTTACATACATGGTGTTTTAGGTTTCCTAAGATGCATATATACTGAGGATATTTTGGGCCAGATTATAGAAATCTGTGTTCTTTTTGGTCTTTTAAAGACAATTAATATACTGTAGGTGTATATATTTTTTGGATGATATGTTTTTTCTGATTTCTTTTGGAGTTAAAATAATTCTATCCATCTACTTTTAGAAATCTGGTGTAGAATTATGGCGCTTTAATGTTTGATTGTAGGATACCTACTTTCACTTATTTTCTTCTATTTTTGTAAACTATATTTATGCAGTACTTTAATCTTTTGTGTAGATCCCTGGTTTATATTTATTGAAAATAATATTTCTTATGTATCATTATTTTATTTTCATTATTAACTTACTCTTAGTCTTCTAAGACTTGTTTTATGCAGTTACTATATATCTATTGTGTAAGCAAGGTGAAAAGGAGAAACCAGTGGGTTCAAGATTGAACGTATATATTTATACTCCTTTTCTGGTGATCTTTTATGCTATATAGAGATCATCGTATGTGCAGAAAGCAACAAGGACCGAAATTAGATCAATGGGAAGTTGAAAAAAATATAGTCAGACTGTCGAATAGAATTAATAAAGTAGAGAAATAATCCGAAGGCTGAGCAGAAAAATATGCATGTGCAAAAAAAGCAGAAGATTAAGAATAGGAACTTTATAACCACAATGAAAAACTAGTACAACAAGAAAGGAAATAATTAAAGCTATATAATAATAATAATAATAATAATAATAAATCAAAAGGAGAATAAATCAAAAATGTAAAATTCTGTACTTTACCTATGAGCCTGGCCGCCTTCTCCATATTTTAAAGTCTGTCCTCCAAATGCCCTTTGGTAAATTCGACCATCTTTGTTTCTTGAAAACGGCATTCCGATATTTTCTAACTCTAGGACAGCTCTAGGAGCATCTTTCGTCATGTAGTGGATAGCACTTTGATCTCCGAGCCAATCAGAGCCTTTGACGGTGTCGTAAAAGTGCCACTTCCAACAATCATCCTCAAAGTGACCTAAGATTACAAATAAAGAAAGTAAGTAATATAAAAACGGTACTAGATGTTTGTTTCAATACAGAGCAGCGGCAAGCCGCTTATGCGTATTTCGACCTCTTTAGGTCTCTTTAGAGCGGTTTAGCCACCTCTCTGGATCGAAACAAAATCTATTCCCGTCTTGGACAATAGTTATTAAAATAAATATGTATGAACGTAACATCCAATACCAAAAAGAGAAATTATCAGTGTTGTTTGATATATATGTGGTAAAGATCTTTTAATTGGTATAGCAATTATCAGTATAAGAAGGAAGACAAATCTGGTATCAAGAGAAACTGTAAAAGTCGGCTGCAACAAAATAACATAAGTTCATAAATATAAATACATCATAAAATCCAAATTTCCAGGGATAACGAAATCGCTGAAACGTAAAGAAGAATCACTTTAGCATGGGCCGCATATGGAGCTCTATCAGACATCTTCAAACGCAATATGCTAAATTATTTGAAAAAGAAAACGTTCGACCAATATGTGCTTCCAGTCATGACTTACGGCGCCACAACACGGTTGCGACTTACGGAGCAATTAAACTCAGAGTGGCCCTCAGAGTGGCCCTCAGAGAGGACTCAGAATTAAAAGATCATTACTCGAATATCTCAGAGACAGGATTAGAAACGAGAAAATAAGAAGAAGGACAGATGCCATAGAGCTGGCCATGAATGAATAACGGGTGGTGGACTCAAAAAATTGTAATGTGAAGATCACGAGCAGATGGAAAAATCAGGGGTACACCACCTACACAACGGATACACGACGTCAAAAAAATCGATGGGAATTGGGAATTGCGGAAAGCTGAAGACCAATAGAAGAGGAAGAAATTAGAGGATATATATATATATATATATATATATATATATATATATATATATATATATATTCGGTTTTATAACGTCTTATGACGTTGTCCGACTCCCAAACGCCACTGTATTCTGTCTTGAGTTAGGTCTTCGTTCAGTTTTCGAGCGCTAATCGCTTTCCTAACTCCCAGGTTCCAGCTCTGTACTCATTTTTTTATGCAATCTTTCGTCCCCCATTCGGCTCACATGTCCATACCATATGAGCTGTTTTCTCTCAATATCCTCAACTATAGTGCCCTCTATACCCATTTGTTGTTTTGTCACTACATTCCGTATTCTGTCGGCTCTTGATAATCTCATCGATCTTCTGGTGGCATCTATTTCCGTGGCTTCGACCTTTTTCTTATATTTCTCGGTTATTCTCCATGTCTCAGCTCCATAAAGTAGGCTAGTTTTAACCATTGTCTCATAGATGTTCCATTTTCTTTTCTTTGATATTTCTTTTCTCCATATAACTCCGTTTAAACATGCTATAGCTCTTCGTGCTTGTACAATTCGATGTTCTATTTCTCGTTCGTCTTTTCCACTACGGTCGAAAATGACGCCCAGGTATTTATATTCGTCAGATGGATTTATTTTTTGATTGTCATCGATATCGAGTTGTTCTGCTTCAGCTTCAATTGAGAGATATTTTGTCTTTTCTAAATTGATATTTAATTTCCATTTCTGGTATTCTTTAATTAGTTTTCTAAGCATGTATTCCATGTCGTCTTTGTCATTTGAGATCACCACCTGATCATCTGCAAACTGTAAAGTATATATGTAATCCTGATCGTTCAATTGTATACCCATTCCTTTGACTTTTCTTTTCCATTGTTTCAGAGCTGCAGAGATATAAATCTTAAATAGAGTCGGAGAGATACAACATCCTTGTCTGAGACCCTTAGTAACTGCAAATTTTTCAGCTAAGAGGTTTCCGAATTTCATTTGGGAGTTTGAACCATAATATAGATCTTTGAGAGCACTAACCAATGTTTGATGTATGTTTGATGTGCCCAGGACTTTCCATAGTTTATTTAGCGGGACTGTGTCATATGCCTTCTCAAGATCTACAAAAGTCATATGTAATTCTCTATTTGTCACAATTTTCTTTTCTATAATTTGTTTAAGACAGAAGATGTTATCTGTACATCTCTATCTGTTATCTGTTATCTGTACCTGCTCTAAATCCTCCTTGTTCTTCGTCTTCAGACGATTGATAATCTTCCTCTATCAGGTCCCGTAGTATTCAACCGTATAGTCGACTCATTGAACTTGTAACCGATATCCCTCTATAGTCTTTACAATTTCTCCTGTCACCTTTTTTATATATTGGGGTCATATATGCTGTTTTCTATTCATCCGGTGTTGGATGTCCATTAATATATTCGTTAAATATCACCGTGATCATTCTGTGTAATTTCTCTGACCAATTTTTTATTAATTCCGTAGTTACTCCCTCTGGTCCACTTGCTTTCCCATTCCTCATCCCTGCTATAGCTTTTTGAACTATGTTGATATCTATGGTAATATGCTCTCCCAGAATTTCGATTCTTGATGAATTCATATCTTTTTTAAATTCATCTCTGTTCTCATTTAATAGATGTTTGTAATAATGTGTCCAATTCTCGGGATTTATGGGATTTAGAATCACTTTCTCGTTAGTCGGCTTCTTAACAGAGTTTATAAACTTCCACGCCTCAGTGCATTGTCGTCCTCCAATATAAGATTCTATCTCTCTGCACCTTCTGTGCCATGTCTCATTTTTGGAGGTCATAATTATCTTTCTAGTTTTCTTCTTCATTTCATTGTATCGGTTTTTGTCTGCGTCATCTTTTGTATTCAACCACTTATGGTATAATCTTTTCTTTTCTTTTTGATTCTCTTTGATGAATACTTGATATTATGTTCTCTTATATGCATTTGGTATTTGTTAGTGTTTCGTCAAGTTTGGAGTCCAGTTGTTGAGGATGCCAATGTTTATTTTGGACACAGAATGCTGGTTAATAATAATTATGTTTTTTCTTCTTCTATTCTTAGACAAGACATAGAAATATTTGGCAATTGGGAATAAGACTATTATGCTTCACTATTGCCTTTTATTAAACTACCAAAAACCTTGTACTTTTGACTTTCGGCGAAAGCTACCAGGTTTCTCCTGTGAATCCAATATCGTTTAAAGCTTGGTAAATATATGATCAGATTGCAATTAAACTACTGTCTTATGACAATTTTTTTGGTACTATATTAATTTATGTAAATTTTCTACAATTTAAATAATTATAGTTTATTTCAATAAGACACAATAGCTAAAATTGTGTGGTTTATTTCCATAAAATCTAGCAGTTAATACTCCATTAACATCGCATTTTTGGTTTTCACTAACCAAACTAAGAAGTACAGGCCACCATAGGATCTCAAGTTATAATACGTAGTACACATTAAGTGGGAAAATATTATGAAAAACAGGACAGTTATTTTCAATGTTTATTATTTTTTATTATTGGGCTAAAAATTTAAAAATTGCTCCTCGTATACAAAAAAAAATGGAATATTTAGAAACATATTTTATAAAATGTTTCTTTATTATTGTCTGAGAAGAGGTCTTTTTCATTTCAGATAAAAACAGTTATTTTTTATATATTATATTTAAAAACTATTTGCGCAAATGACATTCTTATTATTTTTAAAATTTCTTGTTGATGGTCTTCTATAAATAGATGTTTCTTATACGGCATTAATCGTTTGACAATTCATTGTTTTGCCATTCCACCAATGAATTAGTCATTCATTATCTGTCTTAGTCTTAATAACATTGTTAAAATAGAAGCTGTCCAAAACAGATGGTTTAACCATTGTTCATTTAAATTGGAGTTGACTATTGAAGGACCGCATAGGACGTTATTGGGAAGAGAAATAATGATTGAATATAATGGTTTTAATTTACAGTGTGTTGAAAATATAAGGTGTTATTTGTTAACCAAAATTTTAATATATATTCCAAAAATTGCTATTTCATTATTTACTTCTTCTTACCTATTTTCATTTAATAAACTTATGCTATGTTGATGATCAGGCACTACAAAAGAAACACAACAGTACAAACAAATAAGAAGCAAATAAATACAAACAAGCATAATTCGCAGTGTACGATCCGTGGAAAAATGTAAACAACCTTTGCAGAAATCGAACCAAATTGGCTATACTATATTTCAAGAGTAGGATAAAGTAACTTCTCAGAAAAGGAGCTAATTTGGTATGCATATTTTAGTATCTGTGCTACCCTACATTGCCCAATATTTCATCTTTAGCTCTTTAGCTCCTGTTTTCTCAAATATTGAAATAAACATTTCTGTGCATATCCCAGGCACCGTAAAACCTCTTCTACCTAGTATTGTTTAGAAGAATGGACGTTGGTATAAGTACACAGGTCATAGATATAGATTAAGGAATTACATTAATTTGTTGAGGTTCATTTATTTTGATGAGAATAGTTTTGTCTAATTAATTTTAACCGAATAAGAGATTTGACATTTTTAGAGTAATCCACCTCTAATTCGTTTGTCTGACGGGTAGATCTCTCCCGCGCTCGGTTCATCTGGAAGCTTCTCGTCGTCTCGCGATGCAACCGTTATATGGGCTACGTCGAATGCATGTTCACAACATTGCTCCCTTCTTAGATCTGAGCGTCCCAATCAGTAACTCTATGTGTAGGCCCAGGATGGCGGAATCTATAGGACTCTCCAGCTCTGCATGAAACCCTCAGAAAGAAATAACAGTCTACTGACTTTGAAGGACACGATCTTATCGGGTTAATGCAACACACAGTAATTCGTACGCCGGTTTCTCGGAAGACCAGTTCAAGTATGCTTCTAACAATCTTTCAATCCAGATTATCTAGTGCATGATCTATCTTGGGTAAGGCCAAATTCTTGATGTCATTATTGCACATGATTTTCTTCAAATGAGTTAGAGCACGCCATATATCCTCGTAGGTTCCCTGTCTGTAGACGACTTGGTCGCCATATACAGCAAAGATCAAGAACTATCTTCTAATCTCAGTGCTCTTCTAACTTTAGGCTGTTGATTTTTTAACTCGTCCAAACGACCAAACTTCTTATAAAATACGGATGAGATTCCTTTAGTCGTCTCAAAATCTTGGGCAACACAGTGGGCTAGAGGGACGTTATGCGGAACACTAAAAAGATCCTGCTGAACTTCTGAGGTCACGCCAAATCTAGTACTTGTTCTCTCTGCGTAATTTGACCTAAATTCATTAATGCTTAGTCGCCGGTCTTCTTTGATACAAATATTCACGGGCTCCTACCAAGTAAGCTAATTACTTATTTATTCACCTGACGGAATTAAATGAGAACTATTCCAAGATTGAGATATGTATCTTGTTTTTACAAAAAATTGACATAGCCACTTCATGGATGATACAGAAATTATACATAATAAATCTTACTTAAAGCTGCGTTCACCCCTCCTTGTGCTGCAATAGTATGTGACCGTGTTGGAAACATTTTTGTAATACAAGCTGTTTTGAAACCATGTTGGACTAACGCTGCTGCAGCTCTTAGACCTGCTCCACCTGCTCCAACAACTATGGCATCATAATGGTGATTGATTATCGGAAATTTGGACTAAAAAATAATAATAAAATCATTTTAAGTTCACAGTTTGATCTATGGCACACTTTATTTTTCGATTTATACATTTTCGTTTGAAAATCGATCTATTGCCAATCGTGCGAAAGTTAGTAAAATCATTGAGTCATTTTAGTAATTCGCTTATGTTAATCCTTACTTTAAATGATGCGTAGTAGATAGGCGTACCTAAACTAAGCTATGACTTTATCTTGTTTATTAATTAATTGTTGTTTATTTGGCCACATTTACATGTATAGTCCGTCGAGCCAGAAAAAACGCAAAAAGAAAGGAAACAGCTCTAATCGAAAACTTTCCAATTTAAATTTTCGAATAGCATATTTTGCAGCTATTCACTTATGTTTTTATAGCAAGACAACCGTTTCTAAATAGATGCACCAAATTACTAACGTCTGCATGAGCGAAAATGTATATTTACTTGATCGTTTCTCTGTGTAAACGATTTTTCATTCTCAAACCGCTTTTGCTTTTCGGAGCTTAAAGTAAACTTCAAATGCATCTTTTTTAACGAAATCGGGAGGTACAAATAGGTTCAAAAGCAAACTGTTAATACTATACGCTTTGTATTTACTCAACCAATATGCGACTGGATAAATCTCTGGGTACAGCTTCTATTTAGTTTGAACCCAGTAGTTGCCTAACGCAATAGTAAAATTCAAATGTAGATAAATCTTTGCAATTTGTCATTAGAATATTAGAATTAGAAATCAAAAAATATGAAGTGTAAACTTGCAGAAACGTCGTAAAATAATGGTTTTTCTATCTAAAAGCCAAAGGTATTCAATACATCAAACCCACAGAATTCATATACAGTGTGTCAATTTTAAAAGTTACAATGGGCGATATCTCACGAACAAAAGCTGATACCGAAAAATGCTTAGCTATCATTAAGGATAGGCTGACGTCACGTTGCCATGGCAACCGTGAACGCTATGCAGATGGATTTGAAAAAAGATATTCACCTATTCCTGAATCCTACAGGGCTAGTGACACAGGTCAGGACTTGACCGTCAAGTACCCACCGCTAATGAAGCTACAGTAAATTCAACTTCAAGTTACGGAGAGAATCAACACAATTGATATTCGAGTCTACACGTGACGAACGCCTTGCTATTGGCCAAATTGTCGAACGATCGTAAGTCAGGCAGTTAGCCCTAACAGGTGCGGACTTCGTTTTTCCGCTCCGTCCTCTGTCGAATGCGAAATGGCCCAGTAATTTTTGTGAAAGCTGTTTGTTGGTTTGTTTATTTGTTAATCGTTAGCTCGTGTGTGACTTGACCGTCAAGTACCCACCGCTAATGAAGCTACAGTAAATTAAACTTCAAGTTACGGAGAGAATCAACACAATTGATATTCGAGTCTACACGTGACGAACGCCTTGCTATTGGCCAAATTGTCGAACGATCGTAAGTCAGGCAGTTAGCCCTAACAGGTGCGGACTTCGTTTTTCCGCTCCGTCCTCTGTCGAATGCGAAATGGCCCAGTAATTTTTGTGCAAAGCTGTTTGTTGGTTTGTTTATTTGTTAATCGTTAGCTCGTGTGTGGATAGTGCAAAGCATTTTTAAGAACATTTAATTATAGTCGATACAAACTTTTTCCCCACTTTAAAATAAATTCTGTAAGTATAATAAAGCATTTATAATAGCCATAAGATAAGATATAATATCGACCTGCACTGATATGTTTAATGGATAAAAATTATTTAGTATGTTAAAAATTATGAAAAACAAGAGGTGCCCGATATAATTTTGTCCTGCCTATAATTAATTTAAACTCTTTGCGGCACGAGATTTCATAAATTTTCTACAATGGACCCTTGGGGCATAGAAGGATTCAATTGCACACGTAAAAAGTAAAATGACCTCACTTTTCAAGAAACAACTGATAACCATTCGCGTTTGGCCAATAACTATACCGTGGGAATTTTACCAATTAAAGATAACACTTAATAGGGACAGTAGCGAATAAGTAATACAAACCACTTGCGTAGGTGTAACTTGATAAAAATAGATTAATAAGTGATTCATTTTGTGGACTACTGTACATGTAGCAAAAATTTGGTGGTTCAAATTTCAATCCAATCTGCCGAAAAGAGTTAAAAAATACCTTTTTTATATATTTAAAAAAATCAACCCGGGCAGATATTGTTTTAGATTTTTTGGATCATTCTAACCAAAAATTTATTTTGTAATTTTTCTTAAGTTGATCGTGTTCGAGTTATAAATAATTTAAAACTGGAAGACAAGGAAGAATTGACAGGCGAACAAGAATTGACAGACGAAAAAGAATTGACAGACGAAGAACGATAGATGACGATTTTCAAGGATCAAAATCATTAGTAAAAAATATCACATTTACCAAAGCGGTGTAGGTAAACCTTATATCGGATCCTCCTATAAAACTAAATTTGAAAATGCCCATTTTTTTATTTTAGTTGAGAAAAGTATAATAAATCCATTTATTTAATATGTCTGATACGGAGTCGGCAAATGAAAATAAGGAACTGTTAACGCTAAGTCCTTCTAGGAAAAGAGCTAAGAAAAATCACGTAGATATAAGAATCAAAAAAATAATGGTTAATACATACAAATGTGAATTACAAGATAATCCTACTTTAACGTTCCAAACACTGGAAAAAAATGCTATAATTGTAATGGACAATGCCCCTTACCATTTCAGAAAATTGGAAAAAATTCCCATTATGGCTACAAAAAAGGCAGATATTCAAAATTGGCTTCGCTCAAAAGACATTCCCTTTGAAGAAACGATGTTAAAGGTGCAACTTTTAGAAATCGTTAAACAACATAAAGGCAAATATAATAAGTACATAGTAGATGAACTGGTAAGAAGCACAAATAGAATAGTTTTTAAGTTGCCACCGTATCACTGCGAGTTCAATCCAATCGAGCTTGTATGGGCGGAAGTCAAGAATTATGTAGCATGGCATAACACAACATTTAAATTTGCTGACATTAAAAACTTATTTCATGAAGCTGTGTCTGCTGTAACCATGGAAAAATGGAAAAACTGCGTCAAAAATGTAAAGGAAGAAGTGGAGCCAAAAATGTGGGAGCTGGACAATTTAATTGAGGCACAAATTGAGCCTATCATTATCAACTTTAATAATGAAAACAGTCATCATTAAAGTACGGTAAAACAGATAAAATACGGTAATTTTATAAACTTTTTTTTTGTATACTTTATTTTGTTGTTAATAACTCTCGATTTTGTAAATCATTTTTATATTTAAAAAATTGGTGTACTATAATCTGTACCTGTCAGACGTCTACAAATTATATAAGGTTTTGTATTGCAGCTTTAATTTACTAGTCCGACCCTGAACAAACGCGTGTTTCCAGCGTGCATTTGTTTCCATCGTGCGTAGCTTGAAGTTGAATTTACTGTAGTTATCTTTTTTAATTTTTAGATTAATTAAAAGAGAATAAATAATTGATTTCAGAATTTAGATTTAATAATGTTGCTTTTATTTTTTATTTATTTGTCTCAATTTAATTATATTTGTTTGGTGAACCTCACCTTCACCTACTTCACCTGGGCGGCCGCCGCTGCATTCGGTGGTAATGCTGCCTCCTTATATCCAGATCTCAATCCCATAGAATTAGTGTGGGCATCTCTTCGTTGTTGAGAAAACCGTTGACTTTAAGTTTTGTTCTGTAAATCGTTTTAGCGATGAATTTAAAATTTTCAAACGAAGAATGTAAAAAACGATGTGAACAGAAGTCGACAGTTGCGTGTTCCCACTCTTTCTCTCCGAATACTTTCTCTGCCTGCTCTCTGCGTCGATGGACAAGATTTCGGAAGTCGTTAATAGATTTGACTAGTAATATAGGATCTTCTTTTATTATTAGTCCTATCATTGAACGCTCCATCCTTCTTTGTGCTACTCTTGGTTTTAAAGCATTGTTTTTTGTTAGGGACAGTGTTTCTTCTTAATTTCTCACCTGTTTGGTTGCCTATTCTAATTTCATGGCCAAAGTACATGTATTTATCAACAAGTTCTAGTTCGTCTTTCTGAATTTTTAAATTCTTACTGGGCATGAGGTTCGTCATGTAGTTTGTTTCGAGGATATTTATTTTTAAACCGATTTCTCTGTAGGCTCTTTCCAGTTCTTCTAACATTTCGCTCGTCACCTATTTCGATCATCTCCTATCAAAACTATATTATCAGCATAACTCAGATGGTGCAGTCTTTCCCCGTTGACAGTTATACATTTATAACCCCAATCAAGTGTTTTTAAAGCACGTTCTATAGCTGTTATTAAAAGTTTTGGTGATAGTGTCTCATCTTGTCTGACATCTTTGAATTTTTATTTCTTTACTGTTTTCGTGTTACTTGCAACTTTCATTTAAGGCTTCAATTATACTATATAGTTCTACCGAGTAAACGCTTTGTGGAAATCTATAAAAACTAATACTTTTCACTGAGTTGTTTTATCGTTTGTAGATGGTCGTTGGTGCCAAATTTTGATCGAAATCCCTCTTGCTGTCTGGGTTATAACAGGTCTAGTTTTTTCTCCAGTCTCGTTGTTATGATTTTTGTGAAGCTTATACATATAACTTCACAGGCTAATGGGCCGATAATTTTCTAGGTCAATTTTATCTCCTTTTTATGTAGCAGAATCGGTAAAGCCTTATTTCATTTAGACGGTATCAACATTTCTTGTAAGCATAAATTAAAAAGTTCTTGTATTTTGAAGATCAGAGTCTCGCCCCCGTTCTTGATTGATTCGATAATTAGTCCATCATCTTCTGGTAGTTTATTTCCTAGCAATATATATCCACCAGACAGCATAAATATGCATGTATTTACTGTCTAAAAGTCTTTGTTTGGCACTACAAGTTTTGGATTTATTGAGAACTAACTCATCAGATCACTTAGATATACCATCACTTACCAAAAAGCAACTCACAGCGACAGATACACCTTTTTACAGTATCACCTTTTACAAATAGGTACAAACGGTTGTCAACATGATCCTAACAAAACCCATATGACTGAGAGATAATTACAAGAAAGCCGAAAAATTAACGATACGGGAATAATACCACAAGAGTGGTAGTCTACTAGATAGTGGCTGAAGTCAGCATTTATAACCATCCCTAAAAAACAAGCAGCAAAAGAGTGCTCTGATTATTGAATACTGAGCCTCATAAGTCATACTTTAAAAGTACTGCTAAAAGTAATATATACGAAAGGCTAGAGGAGGATATTAGCGAGACGCAGTTCGGGTTCCGAAATGGAATAGGTACTCGAGAAGGACTATTCTCCATCAACATATTGATTCAGGGATATCGGGATATAAACGTTGATCTACACTTGTGCTTCATTGACTACGAAAAAACTTTCGATAAAGGAAGACATGAAAAACTAATATCAATAGGTACTTATGAACAAGGGCATTGACAGTAAAATCATAAATATAGTGCACACGTTATATTGGAACCAAAATGCCATAGTTCAAATTGATGGGCAACACCCAGAAGAAATGAAGATATGTAGAGGAGTTAGACAGGGATGTGTTTTATCGCCACTTTTGTTTACCATATATTCTGAAGTTTTCCAAAACACGCTCAATAATATCGAAGCGGGAGTCACGGTTAACGGAAAATTAATTAACAACTTACGATATACAGACGACACTGCGATCATAGCAACGAGTAAAGAGGATCTACAACATCTTATCGAAAGCTTGAGTATGAATAGTGCTAAGATGGGAATTACTATAAACGCTAAAAAACGAAGTACATGCTAATTACAAAAAGACCACAAAATATACATCACCTATTGACAATCAATGGTAACGTGATAGAACAAGTAGAAAAATATCAGTACTTGGGAACTTTGATCAATGAACCCAATGATCATACTGTAGAAATAAACAGGCGAATAGAGATTGCCAGATCAACATTTATACGAATGAAGCCACTCCTAATGTGCCAAAATCTAAATTTGGAGATCAGACTACGTACCATTCGCTGTTATATATTTTCAATATTAGTATATGGAGCTGAGACTTGGACATTAAAAAAATGCAATTTAAAAAGAATCGAGGCTTTCGAACTCTGGTTATACCGCAGAGTATGAAATATATCATGGACTGATAGAATTACAAATAAAGAAGTACTGGAGAGAATTCGTAAAAAAATGGAACTAATCACCACTATATAAACCAGAAAACTGGAATACCTAGGCCACGTGAAGATTCAAGGAAGAAGATCTGTTGGCTGAAGTCAGACCTCATGGTTAAATATTCTACGTGATTGGTATCAATGCAGATCGATTGATTTGTTTAGAGCAGCAAGTTCTAAAATAAAAATAGCCATTACGATTGCCAACCTCCGTAGAGAGATGGCACTCTAAGAAGAAGAAAGAAGAAAAATTAAACATGATAAAAGGTATGCTAAGAAGGAACGGTTCAAACAGTAGAAAGGTTTCAAAACTATATCGAAAATAAACACATAATTCATGAGGACCTAACAATTAGTGAACAATGGGAAATGTGTAAAAATAATATTAAAGAGGCAGCAAATAATATTCTAGAGCCAGAAAGACCACCACCACGTAATGACTGGTTTGATGCTGAGTGTGAGGACATTACAAGAAGAAAGAACGATGCATATAAACTGATGCAGCAAAGAAGAACCCGAGAAAAACAGCAAAAATATAAAGATCTCAGAAAAAAAGAGAAGTGCATTCATAGAAGGAAAAAGCGAACTCACGAAAATAGAATATTGGAAGAACTTGAGGTATTAAAAAAGGAAAACCAAACAAGAAAATTCTACAAAACTCTGAATAACGCAAGAATGAAATTCAAACCAAGGCTCAGACTATGTAAGGATAAGGAGGGGCATATACTAAATACAAAAGAAGCAGTACTGAAAAGGTGGGTGGAACACTTTAAAGAACTACTTACTATAGAAGTAGAAGATCCAGATCCAAATCAACCACCCGGAGGAGCAAGCAACAATTCACCATTAGAGCCTCCGTCAATTCAAGAAGTACGAGATGCAATAAAACACCTAAAAAACAATCAATCTCCAGGAAGTGATGGTATACCCGCGGAGCTTATTAAATGTGGAGGTGCTTCTGTGACTAATCAAATATATAAAATAATACTGAGAGCCTGGAATGAGGAACAAATCCCGGAAGAGTGGTGTATTGGAATCGTTTGCCCGCTACACAAAAAGGGTGACTAATTGGAATGTAGAAACTATAGGGGAATAACCCTCCTTAATACAGCATACAAAATATTTTCGAGGATCATATATGGTCGCCTAAGTACATATTCAGAGGAACTTCTCGGGGAATATCAAAGTGGCTTCAGGCCTGGTCGATTAACAACAGATCAGATCTTTGTGCTAAGGCAAATACTGGAAAAAACCAATGAATTCAATATCGATACATACCATCTTTTTGTAGACTTCAAATCTGCCTATAATAGTGTCCTAAGAAATAAATTGTATGAAGCAATGAATGAATTCCACGTCCCCGATAAACTGATAAGATTTCTTAAGGCTACAATGCGTAATGTGGTTTGAAAAGTCGAAATACAGGGCGAACAATCACAGGCGTTTGGACCGCATGTTGGGCTGCGACAGGGAGACGCGCTGGCGTATCTCTTTTTCAACATAGCACTGGAAAAGGCGATCAGAGATGCCCGAATAGACAACAGAGGAAATATTTTTAATAAATTATCCCAAATATTGGCATATACAGATGATGTGGACCTAGTTGCCCGCACAACACGCAAGCTAGAAGAAATGTATACCACCTTCTCAAATGCCTCAAAATATATGGGCCTGCAAGTAAATGAGGAGAAAACTAAGATGATGGCATCAACACCCAACAATAGAGCCAGGAACATCGGTCCCCAATTCACGGTTGATAACTCTACCTTTGAAGTGGTTGACAAATTCACATACTTAGGCTCCCTGATCACCAAAGAGAACGCCATAACGGAAAAAATCAAGCGAAGGATAGTAATGGCAAACAGATGCTATTTTGGACTGAGTAGACATATGAGAAGTAGAAACTTAAGCCAAAAAACAAACATAACTATATACAAAACCCTTATACAGCCAGTGTTGACATATGGATCGGAGACATGGACCATCTCCAAGGCAGACGAAGACCTTTTGCTTATATTTGAACGAAGGATTCTGAGAAAATGGTATTTGGAGGAGGAGATACAACTACGAGGTATACCACAGATATAAACAAATATTTGGTGGTAAAGACGTAGTATCTCTTATAAGAATAGGAAGATTAAGATGGGCAGGACATCTAGCAAGATCACAGCAGAACAATCCTCCTAGAAGAATCCTTATGTCACAACCCGTGGGAAGCAGAAAAGGGGGTAGGCCAAAACTCAGATGGAAGGATGGTGTAGATGAGGATTGTAGAAAGATAGGCGCAGCAAACTGGCAACGGTTGGCAATGGATAGGACTGCCTGGCGTAATAGACTTGGGAAGGTCGAGGCTCTTTCATAGGGCTGTAGCACCATTGATGATGATGAAGAAGGAACTGTTATAGTCAATAAACAACTAGCAAAGCTACAGAACCTCGTGAAAATAAGCCAGTAGACAAAACTGCAACAACAACAACAATATACAAATGAAAAACCATATTACTTAGATTAAAGAAACTACAGATTATAAACAGACCGAATTGCCAATTGTTTGCCTGAACACTGTAGGTACTGGTTTGTAAGAAACTACGGTTCTAAAATTAAATTTGTTGGTAGCGGTCTTCCAAGGTAGCAGAATTATCTTACCTTACAAGTGGGCTTTCTGGAATAACTACGACATATTTTTAAATAAGATTTACTTCCAAACGTTTTTCTAACCAGTTTCATAAAATTCATCTTTATTTTATCTTTTTAAATGTGACGTTTTTATGACAAAATGCAACTGTCATCGAAGCATGTAGATATAAGTAAGTATCTGTGTACCTAACTATTTTCGGAGTGTGACTAAGTATCTAATTTAAACGAAATTATAATATTAACTTGTAAAAACGTAGGTACGGACTAGTGTGAGAAAGTTTTATAGGCTGGAACGAGATTATTAACATGTAGATACGGGCTAGTATGAAAAAGTTTTATAGGCTGAAATTGGCGGTAAAATGTTGTGTCCTTTTTTACTTGACTTGATCAAATATCAGCTGGTCGAGGTTTTAGCAGATCATTAATGTTTATGTATATATTGTAATCTATTATGATGCAGATATTCCAAATATTTAATTTCTCAACAAAAAACAGAAGGCAGAAGACACGCTGACTACTCCGCCTATGGATGTTTAACCATAAATATCTCCATTAATACCTGGTAAAAACAAATATTCTAACCCAAATATGTAGTAATAATAAACTGGATTCGATAATAGATTCGATATTTAATTCAATATTCCATTCTATACTCGATTCGATAATCGATTCGATATTCGATTAAATAATCGATTTGATATTTGATTTGATAATCTATTCGATAATTGATTTGATAATCGAGGCGATCATCGATTCGATAATCTATTCGATTTGATAATCGATTCGATAATTCATTCAATCATATTCAATTGATTCAATTATCAGATTGATAATTGAATCAATTGTCAATATCAGATTGACAATTGATTCAATTATCAATCTGATAATTGATTCAATAATCTATTTGATTTGATACGATTTAATAATCGATTCGATAATAGACTTGATTCGATAATTGATTCGATTCAATCCGATAATCGATTCATCGATTTGATTTGATAATCGCTTCGATTCGATATTTGATATGATAATCGATTCAATTAGATAATCAATCCAATTCGATTATCAATTCGAATATATTTGATTCGATAATCGGTTCGATTTGATTTGACAATCAATTCGATTTGATTCGGTAATCGATTATAATCCATAATCGATAATCAATTTGATTTGAACATCAATTCGATTTGATTTGATTCGATAATCGATTTGATTCGATAATCGATTAGATTTGATTCGATAACCAATTCGATTCGATAATCAATTCGTTTCCATAATCGATTTTATTTTATTTTATTTTACTACATTTTATTTGATTTTATTTGGAAGCTGTGCTTCCAATAACAGTGGGAGAAAATCATCGAATGTGTATGAATGTGTATGAAAATAATATTTTGTATGACGGATTGTTCGGTTCGGCGTCAGGACTGTGACGAGACGTGACTGATGTGTTTAAATCGACCTTTAAAGATTATTTTGTATGACGGATTATTCGGTTCGGCGCCGGGACTGTGACGAGACGTGACTGATGTGTTTGAATCGACCTTTATTCGGTGCTATATGATTTATCATGTGATTTGTCATGATTTGGTCATGAAGTGAAATTTACATGTTTACACTGTGTGATTTGTAATAAGCATGGTCATGCGGCTGTCACAATAGAATAGGACGATACCTATTCCGCATGATAAAATCATATGATTTTTAGTAATAGGGAGTTTTTGTAACTACCTAACGTAACGTATCTCCCTATACGTAAAGAACTAACGTATCGAAGAAGATGAACGTTAAATTGAGAGTTTTTGTTCTGCACGTAACGTAACGATGGTGTTGCCCTCATCGAATTAGTGATAAACTAATAAGTTGTCAGTGCCTGTCTTGTACATGTCACTTAACCCAATTTTTGATATTCAAAATAAATAACAAATATGTTTTAAACAATTTTTAATTTCGGAGATGGACGCAATAATAAATGTAGGTGCCATTATTGATGATGAAGAAGACGAGGACATAGAAAATCCGCTTCTTCTCCACATCTTGCACGACTATACGGCCGCTTTAATTTACATACCATGTCTGATATACAATGTAAAAATCTTTTTCGCTTTTGGAATAAATTTCACCTTTCTGGATGATCGCAAGGGTCCTGGCCTATGGCTTCCTTAAACAAAAACATTAATTACATCATCTTCATTACTGAAGTGAAGTCGTTTTCTACTGCTTTCCATTATTTATAAAAATCAAAACAAATATACTTAACCACAAATGTGGATGTTGATATTTTGGTAATCGGGTAAGATCCCTTGTGCGTTCGGTTACTTTCGGCTGGATAGGGATGCGTATGAACGTAACGTATCAGCTCGTTACGTTAGGTAATACGTATCTAGATGCGTTTGTTCAACCATTAATGCGCATGCTTATATGTCAAAAAGATACGTTACGTATACGTATTTGCTTGCACAAAAACTCTCTAATAATACCGGTAACACCAACATGGTTGAGTCACAGAATAATAAACAATCAGAATGCCCACTCTGCTTAAAAAATAAGTATGCGCATCTCGTTCGCGCATAAACATTGAACTATTTCAAATGTACTAAATTATTAATCTCTAAAAATTTAAATTACAGTTCTGTCACAGAATAATAAACAATCAGAATGCCCATTCTCAGATGCCGGCTTTGAAATTTTTCAGCACGCGCGGCATGTTTTAGAAGGAAACACATAACACAGACATATGATTTGTGAGGTTATGTAATTGTTTATATTTATGTTTAATTATATTATATTTATGTTATTATATTTAACAATGTTAATATAATTGCATAGTATCTCTATGATTGCCGTAAGTAAATTAAACCGGGTTAATTTTTCTATGCACACCACATAAACAACACTGATTCTCTCTAAAGCGGAACGTCTGCGCGAACGAGATCCGCGTACTTAATTTTCCATGGGGAGTGCGCATTCTGATTGTTCATTGTTTATTATTTTGTGGTTCTGTCGTAGCTTGTCACAAATTTGTCAATGGACAGCAGGAGTGTGACGTCACATCTGTCATAACTTTCCAAACAAAAGTTGAAATGTCAAATCTCAAGAGTTTTTAATTTCTATAAATTAACATTTTGCTTCCTCTGCTACTTTTTCTGTTAAGTATAGTGTTTTTTAAGATAATACCATCACAATTCAGTGTTCTATTTCTATGAAATATAGTTTCAACCTTGTAAAATTGTTGTAGTAACTATTAGAATACTTAAATATTGCAAAAAACGGAAGGATTATGTAAAAAAAATTAAAAAATAACGAAAAATACAAATTATCCACACTAAACAACGTTTGTTTGGAAAGTGAAACTAACAGATGTCAATCAAAAATACGTCATCACTCCGGCGGTCCATTCAAGTCTATATTTCCGTCTAAAACATGGCGTTCGCGTGCTGACAAACTTCAAAGGCGGCATCTTAGAGTGGGCATTCTGATTGTTAATTATTCTGTGTCTATACTGTGTCTTATGACCATAAACAAAAAGAAAAATCAATAAAACCTCATTGTCACTCATATCACAAGTCATAACTTATCATTCAGTGTAAACCCGATTTTTTAAAACATCATAGAAACGAGGAATCATAACAAATCTCATATGATATTTGCATATGATAAATCATGTAGTGTAAAGTCGACTTTAGCCTTGTCCCCTTTTTTGTTCTGCCGAAAAATCGACAGTTGACAAATGACATAGTAAATAACATTTAGGTTATCCATCACAATTATCCATTATCCGTTACCATTATAAAAGGAAAAAAGACGAAAAAAGAGGAAAATAACATCAAATTGGTGTCAAATAAATTTGTGATAAGATTAGATGGAGACCAATAATAAACAAACTACAGAAGAAGACCTGATGTTAAAGTTTTTTTATTAAAGTAAACACTAAACAGTATTGTTATTATATTAGTTATTAATACAATTTGTTGGTAACACTAGAGTTTCAAAAATGGGAAGGTCAAAAAATCATTCCAAGTAAGAATTTTCAAATGTATAACTTAAGTTAAAAGTAATATTTAAATATTATTTGTAGGGGTAGCAGTAGTTCCCAGAAGACAGGATCCGGTTTGAGCCACTTTACTTTGATGGCGTCTATTATGACTGAATCTTTAGTGCAAAAGTTAATCAGGGAGATTCAAGATCACAGCTACTATCATAAATTCATAGTAAGAATAAGCAATAATCATGAGAGCTAAGATTTTTTTAAAGTACTCTTGTTTTTAATACTTGCAGGATTGTGCAAAAGCAGAACACTGTATATTACTTTGCTAAATAATATCTCCAATATGCATGTTTCACACACTTTTTTATTATTATTGGCAAATTCTCCCTTAGAGGATGGCAATAGAGGATCAAGACTTTTTAGTGTTCTTTTTATTTGCATATGTTCTGCAAACCAATGTTTTTGTTCTTCTGACCATTTTGGACTGTACTGCTTCATTTTAGTTTACTCTGGCAATATGGCCCATTTTTTTACTTTGTCCCTGAAGGTATTTTGGTTTGTGATGTCTGTTTCCTTTGTATTTGAGCTTCTGAGGTCTTTTTGGATTTTAATGGACTAGGGTGTTAGTTGTTTGAGTGAAGTTATGCACTCCAGTATTTTTTTGTTAGCCTACATCCTGGTAGTATTTTTAAAACATTTCACATGTATTACATATTATGCATCTTCTGTTTGTCTAGTACCAATGATTTTCTGATTATGTTTCTTTCTTTGTTTTTATGTCTTAGAGTTCATATTCTCTTTTGAGGGTTAGTGTATTGATTACATGTAAGAAGGAGGGTTTGGTGCAGGTATTGTAATTATTGTAATAGCGAGTTTTAATGTTTTTTTTTATATGGATTTTTTGTTATATATGTTTCGTGTCATCCTAAGTGCTTTTTTGGTCAGTTAGTAATTTTGCAATCTCCCATCTTTCCTTGTAAATTTAATAACTTCGTCAAGGTATTTAAAATGCAGCATTCTTTTAATTTTTCTGTATTTTGTTTTTAATTTATTAATATTGATCATATTGCCAATAAATTCACTTTTTTCAAAGGATATTGCAGGAGCTTGGAAGCATAAAAGTGAACTGCAAAAACCAAATTTTGGGAAAACTGTATATAAAGTTTATAAACATGTTATAATAGTAAAAGCGAACAAGTTTTATTTTATTAACAAAATTTTTGGTTAAAGGAGGATTTTGCAAGATTTTTATGAAATGAAAAGAAAAGAGCTTTAGCAATGCGCAATTTAGTACACTCTAACCAGTCTAACCTAACCCAATATATTTTCCTCAAGGCACGGCATCACAGTGTTGCCGTATTTATTTTAGTAAAATATGTATATGAATGTTACAAATATAAAGTTACTTTTACGAAATAATAATTTGAAGGTTTAAAATATAAGTTACTTTTATGAAATTGTAATTTGTAATATGAGAAGCTACACTTTTAAATAAGTATAAAACAAATATTTTCTGTTACTTTAAATGCAGTTAAATATTGTAAATTAGCACTTTCCAAATCTTATCTATTAGGACCTTATTATTAGGTGTTAGTTAGGTAAAATCTATGAATTTTTATATAATTTTAATGCATTTATATTATATCGACCCTCCCAACGAAAACTGTCGTAACTCATTTTTTTTCAATTTTGAGTTATTACCATAATCAGATTTTATAATACCGAAATTTATTCCAGAGAATACTATAATAACTAAAATCATAATATAGACAACACAATATACGTTAATGTAAATGTAGTATCTCAATGCTCTCTGTACTTTACCGCGAAGAAAGTAGTATTATGGAGTTACTACAGTGTTCGCTGTAAATTTGTGAGAAGGGACCGAGATACGGCTATACGTTTAAAGCGAATAAAATTATAGGTTATGTTAAATGTCGTTCACAATTAGGTGAAGAGCTAAAGAGAATCTTGTTTAATGTTATAATAATTTATAATAATGTCGCAGAGAACTAAACGAATTTTGGGATTACTTGTTAATAATAATACACAAATAGCACCAGGTAAGTTGCTGTCATTTTATTTATCTGTTTATCTATTTAAAATCTGAATGTTGTACATAGCATGGACAGTAAAAAAGTTAATTTCAAAGGAACAATCTAGGTATTTAATAATTTAAACGTTTCTTTTTTTTTCATTTAAATTTTTTTATTTTTTTTTTGTTTTAGACAACGAAAATGAAAGTAACGACGAAAATCATACCGTTGGCATTGATACCAATATATTTCCTTCTGATTATTCCGATAATGATCCGAAATATGTTTCCTCGGAACCAAGGAACAATCTAGGTATTTAATCATTTAAATCTTTCTTTTATTTTTAATTTAAATTTCTTTATTTTTTTTTTGTTTTAGACAACGAAAATGAAAGTAACGACAACAATAATACCGTTAACATTAATACCAACATATTTCCTGCTAATTATTCCGATGATGATCCAAACTACGTTCCCTCAGAATCAGAAGCCGAAAACGAAAATTTGAATCTATCTGATAACAAGACAAGTAATGTGTCATTAGACAGACCATCATCAAAAAGAAAGCGAAAAGTATCAGAAAAGGTTAAGATAGGAAGAAATCGAGTTAGAAATGAGAACAAATGGATTGAAAAAAAAGTCAAAAGAGAATTTAATAGCGGTCTGGAACATAAGAACCGCAAGGATAAGTTTATACCTGCAAAGAAGATGAAGGTTCCTTGTAAGGATATTTGCAGATATAAATGTAATAGCATATTAAATTTTGAAACAAGACAAGTAATTTTTGACGAATTTTTGAAACTTGGAGATCATACCAGGCAGTGGGATTTTCTTGCAAGATGCGTGACACAACAAGGTAAAACGCAAATCTCTGTAAACAATTCTAGGAGAAACTTTTCGCGCAAATATAAATTTAATATTGGTAATACCGAGAAACAAATTTGCAAGACAATGTTCTTAAATACACTTGCGATCTCTGAAACTTTTGTTAGCACTGCATTGAAAAGATAGAAGCAGATAAGAGAGGAAAACATAATACTAGACCGCACAAGATCCCGGATAGTGTAAAAGATAACATTGTAGAACACATAAAATTATTTCCACTTGTACCTTCTCATTATACAAGGAAAAACTCAAAACGCATGTACTTAGAAGAGGTTTTAAACATATCTGTAATGCACCGAATGTACGTGGAATATGCCAAACTCAAAAAATGGGGTGTCGTCGCTACAGTTAGACAATACAGGGATACTTTAAACTCACAATTCAACATTGCATTTTTCAAGCCTAAGAAAGATCAGTGTTCAGTATGCAGTGCGTATAACAATACAGATACAGAGAAAAGAACTCAATCAATGGAAGAAAATTACAATAGCCATGTTTTAAACAAAGAATCTGTTAGAAATCTGAAAGATGCTAATAAGGAATTATCCAAAAGTGATAAATCGTTTTTAACAATATGCTTCGATTTGCAGAAAGTATTAGTAACACCCAAGTCAGAGGTAAGTAACTTTTATTATAAGAGTAAGCTTGCAACTTATAATTTTACTATTTACGACTTGGGCAATAATCAAGGATATTGCTACGTATGGCATGAACAAATATCAAAAAGGGGGCCGAATGAAATTGCAAGCTGTTTATGGCATTTTTTAAAAGGTGCAAAACGAGATGGCATTCGAAAAGTCGTGTTATACTCCGACAATTGCGGAGGGCAAAACCGCAATCGTTTTATTTTTTCGATGTTTGCTCATGCATCGGTGACTTTGGATCTGGAAATAACACACCGTTTTCTTGAGATTGGTCATACCCAGAACGAAAATGACAGCATGCACGCTGTTATAGAAGTTGCAAAGAAACGACATTCGAATATTTATACTCCTGACCAGTGGATTAGCCTCATAAAGATGGCAAAAGTTACTTCTCCACAGTATAGAGTGAAGGAAATGTCTCAAGAAGACTTTTTTAGTTTTAAACCAATGGTTCAAAAACAGAACTGGAAGAAAACTAACACTGCGGAGGTGGTAAAGATAAGCAAAATTAGGGAAATTCACTTCGATCCGAAGAATCCTTATAAAGTTTATTTTACCTACAGTTTTGCAGAAAATTACAAAGGACTCGACATCGCAACATCAAAATTACGTAAACCCCAAGAATATAAACTACCACGTTTATACCAAGGTCTTTTACCAATTGACAGTAAAAAATTAAATGGTCTATTAAGTTTATGTAAAGCCAATTTGATACCAGCAATGTACCATGGGTTTTATAACTCCCTGCGGCCTGCTAATGAAGACATTCCACCAGAGTGCTCTACAGATCAAGAAACTGGTTCCGAATCTGAACAATAGCAGTGTATTGTACTTAGCAATTAGTCGTTAATTATTATTATAATTAGTGTTATAATGCCATTATAAACAAATTGCTAAAAATAAAATATTTGTTAATCATTTTTTGTTTTATTATTGTAGTATGTTTTTATAACTGAAATTTTTGTCGACGAAGACTGTAGTAACTCATTCAAAATCCAAAATCGAATAACCTTATGAAAGTTTTATTTCTTTTGCAATAATTATGATTGCACAAATAGTTACTGAGTGAAAAAATTAAAAACGTAGTAGTGATAATTAAAAAAATATAGAACGTCACTTTTCACAATTATTTTTAAACGCAATTATCTCGGAATCAGCGATCTTGAGTTACGACAGTTTTCGTTGGGAGGGTCGATATGTGGTAATTTATTTAATACTATTCATTTTTTATATCATTTTAATCAATTTTATTGTATATGAGTTTAATTATTTTCTTTTTATAATATTATGTGAGAGTATGAAAAAACTGGAGACTTGGCAACTCTGACACCATTTAAGTGTATGTTAAATGTCATATAAAAGCTTGCTTAGGTTAGAGTGTACTAAATTGCGTATTGCCCAAGAGATTTAATATATTTTACTCTACAAAAATAAAGATAGTTACTTTAACAGGTTTCTGTGAAAGCTATCAGTAGTGGCATAACTTGCAAAATTCCCAAATAAAGCTTCAATTAAACTCAATTTGATTTTTATTGTCTACAGTTTCTTCCAACTTCAGTTGTTACTCATTCCTCCACTAATAGCTTCTTATAAATCATGTTTGTAAGGTATAGGTACAGAATCAAGACTTGTAAATCCGTTTTCTTCTGTAAGCTTGAGAGCACCCTAGTATTTGAGAGGAAGTTCTATAATATCTAATGTAAAAAAATTACATTGTGAGGTCTCTTTAACTCCTTTTGGAGTATCACATTTGTAGGAATATCTGTGTTTTATGCTATTTGAATTTTAAAGCTCATCTTAAAATCTTTTGAAAATTTGAATATTCGTCCATCCTTGAAGTTAGCTCCCAATATTTGAGATTTAGTTGCTGCATTTCGAGGAATACTCGAAACCATTTCCCTCTTGATATTAACAACTTGGAATTTGTCCTTTGTTTGTGTGTGTGTGCACACACAAACAAAGACATTGATATAGTGTTGTTTAGAAAATATCTCATAGTCCTTGATCTTTTATTTAATTGAACCAAAATCTCTATCACAACCCATCATCAAATGCCCTGACATTCAAAAATGTGCTTAATAAGATCAACGCAATTTGCATGAATGTGGCAGAGGTGAGACAAAACAATGTTTATGTTTTTATTTTGCCCTGCACAGTTATCACTAAAAACTATAAATTTTCTCATGTGCTAGTTAACAAAGTTCTCCTGGGTTATGGAAAACTGGCCTGGAGCCTGGAAAACTGGCCATTTCGCAATCTGGCAGGTATTCTGTCTTCTGATGTTTCTTCATTTTTGAGTTTTCATGGTAGGGTAGATTTTTCTTCTATGTTTTCTGTCTGAATTTTCTGAAACTGTCCTTTTGGTTCTGGCCAATTTGACAGTTGTTTAATCCATTAGCTAGTTCTTTACAATTATTTTGGTTCATTAAGGCCAAATTTATGTCTTGTTTTAGAAATCACAGGTGTTGGGTATATCCTTTGATGTGGTTTGCTTAGTTTTTGTAGACATCATGTGTGTTGTAATTCTTAAAGTTTTCATCAATTGATTGCAGCTGTTGTTTACATATGTTCTTTTGATTTGTCTCAGTAATTTAGATGTCTGTTTTCTCATTATGATAAATTTCTCTTGTGTGTTTTCAGATATATTACAGTTATAATTTTAATATGCTTTGCTTTGCTTTTCGGGTGCACATTCTTAATCTGTCCATGGACGTTTCGGTTTTCTGCGTGGGGCTATTGGTTCTTTTCCTCTATCAATAATTTTTATTTGGGTCTCTTGGCAATTTTCTTATTAGATCTTTTTCAAAGGCATTTCGTCAATTGCGGCCTATCTGATAAGAGTAAAATTTCCAAGGAGTCCAAGGACGAACAAACACTTTAAAATTTTTGAAAATAGGCGAAGCGAAATGTAGTCTATTGTAATGTTCCATTTAATGTTTATGGCATTTTATTCTTATCGGATAGGCTGCAATTGACGAAATTTCCCCCCAAAGGTGATCTAGGGATCGAAAGTACTTGGGCAAGATTAAATTAATACTGTGCTCGATATTTGCATTTTGTATTATCAAAGTTCATTTATTCGAGCATTTAACCTTATATCAATATTATTTTTTTGTAACTTATCCTAGTCTGCCAAAGCCATATTTTGTAACTTGTTCACAGTAATATAGTAATAGTGAATTTAAGAATAATTGGCAATTATTTGTCTAGAGGCAAAATATAATCATGTGGGTAAGTATGTATTGTAAAAGAGGCCAAAACTACCAGTTGTATCACTGAAAATGATGAATAGAATATTATCACTAGTTATATTTCTTTCTTGTAACCAAGCTGTAATTTCATATTTAAGTAACTTAATTAAGGTTAACGCAGTCAGCTCGTTTAAAGTCCACTACAGGACATAGAACTCACCCATTTGTATCCAGAGTGCACAGTATTGTGCAGTATGGATCCAATTTTTCATTATCTTTCGCAGATCATCTTACCATCGGGTAGGTGGTCATCCTCTGTTTCGTTTATCTGTCCTTGCTCTCCATTTGGTTAACTTGCTTGTCCACTTTCCATTCTTCATCCTTTACATGTGGCCAGCCAAATGTGTTATAAATATTAATATTCCTAATAATGGCGCATTGATACTTGATCTACATATTTATCTAGTTTTATATCCATTTAAAATCATGTATTAACCTATTTAAGATTCAAATAAAAACTAGGTTAAACCATTTTTATTTTTAGATTACTAATATTTCGAAGGATCACGCTTCAAGGAGAAATATTTTAAAATCAATAATGGATGTAGTAAAGATTGACACATTCCAGCCCCTTAATTTTTATGCATCATCGCAATCCTGTTCATTTATAGCGACATCTTGTTTAGATGTTATAATGAAAATAATTTCCCATAGGTTTAAGATACCAGACTGCAGCGATAGAACAAGATGTGTAAGTATTGTATTTATTATAGTATCTATTAACGTTTAGACAACTAACATTTAGGGCAAAAGTTTTGAGCAAAAAAACTTACAGAACTAACACAAGTTACAGTGGCTGAAACGGAAGAAACGAGAAATAGAAGGAGGAAGGGAAAACGTTCGATATCTAAAAACCCACTCGAATATATATAATATAATAGAAAAAAGCTTTATTCTCAGGATTCACAAGTTACATACAAATATAAATTGTCAATAGAGAGAATGGTGTCAGTTACAATTTATAATGGTTGCTGTAACAACCTACACTTAACATAAAAGTAATATTAAAACATAATGATAATAACAGTGACATTTAGATTCAGGTAAGAGCCCTTAGTCTGCCTACAGGTCAGCTTGAAGGTATTCTTCCACTTTGTATGGTTCAAGGTGTATGAGCAATTATTGTTGAACAGACTTTATATATTTATTTATGTCAGTTTCTATTTTGATGCTGTAAGGCAGTTTATTAAAGAATTTAATACAGGCATATTCTGTGGTTTTCTCAGATGCTGTTACTCTATGTATTGGTATATTATAGTTTATGAGATTGTTTCGTGTATTAGTATTATGGTTTGTTATGTGTTTCAAGAATTTATGTCTATTTTAAAAATGAAAAGTAAGCATTCATATATGTATGTTCCAGCCATTGTTAGTATGTTTAACTTTTTGAAATTACCTCTACATGAATCTCTGTATCTCAAGTTAAGTAGAGTTCTGATTGCTCTTTTTTGTAATATAAAAACCTGTTCAGCGTTACCACGTCCCCCCCAGAAAACTATTCCAAATCGCATTACAGAATGAAAATTTGAAAAATATACAACTCATTTACATTTTTCATCCAAATAATTTGCTGTTATTCTGAAAGAGTAGCAGATAGATGCTAACCTGTTACAGATCTCATTTATATGCACTCCAAAATCTAAATTTTGGTCAATATGTACCCCCAGAAATTTTGTGCTTTGGTTTTGTGATTGAATTGAAACAGTTTCTGGTAAGGTATTATTATTTGTTTTAGTGACAAAACATATATAATTTGTTTTTTCTCTGTTCAGTATGAGTTTATTCATATTGTGCCATCTCTGTGCTTTATATAATCTATTATTAGCGATATTCAATAAATTATTCAAGGATGACCCTATAGTTCAAATGTTAGTATCATCGGTAAATTTCACAATAAGAGTATTCTGATTGTTATCTGTTATGTCTAAAGCTAAATTATTTACATAAAAAACAAAGAGAAGAGGACCCATAATACTTCCCTGAGGAATTCCCACCGAAATAAGACCTTCATCAGAGAAGCAATGTCTTCCCTCATACTCAAATTTTACTTTCTGTTTTCTGTTTGATAGGTATAATTTTATCCAATTATAACCTGGCCCTCTAATACCATATCTGTAAAGCTTTTCCATTAGTATTTTGTGATTTAAAGTATCAAATGCTTTCGATAAATCTAAAAATATGCCCATGGATATATCTTTGTTTTCATAACCCTCATTTATCTTTGTTATAAAATCATAAATGGCCGTCTCTATAGATTTTCCCTTAAGGTACCCATGTTGTGCATGGCATAACAGTCCCTCACTCTAGAAAAAACTGAGAAGCCTGACACACATGACTGTTTCAAAAACCTTAGAGAATGATGGTAAAGGCTTATCGGACGATAATTTTCTGGTAAAGTGGTATCACCTTTTTTATGCACTGGTTTTACTACAGCTATTTTTAAGTTGTCTGGAAATATCCCATTTATGAAGGTATTGTTTATTATATGACATAATGGTATAGCTAGCTCATATGCACACAGTTTTATTATATTTGTAGGTATCCCATCATAACCTGAAGTGAATTTATTTTTCAATTTTCTAATTAATTCAATTATTTCATTTATAGTTACTGGCGTTAGAAAAAATGAGTTTTTGTTAAACTGTATTTTGGTGCTGAATTCCATTTTTGGTATATTTTCTAAAAGATGTGTAGCAGCATTTTAAAAAATATTCATTAAAATTATTACTTACCATGACTGGATCTCCTAGTATAGCTTTATTATCGATAGAATTTACTTGTGTGATTTCTTTAACGATTTTCCATAGACTTTTTGACTTATTTTGACTATTATATATTTCTTGCCCATACTGCATTTTTCGCGAATCCACAAGCATTTTATTATACTGACGTTTTGTTTGTTTGTACTCATCTTTGTAATTGTCATCTACTCTACTTAACATTAGCAAAAGGTCTAAGCGACTTTTATATTGATTTATTTCATTTGTATTATAGTATTTGATACGTTTTTTATGTTTATTTATATTTTTTTCTGGAAAGCCTTGGTCAAATAACAAAGAAATTATTTTCATAAATACAACCCATTGCTTTTCTATATCCCAATTTGGTACTGAAAAAAGCTCCTCCCAGTCTTCATCTTGCAGCATTTGCCTAAAATTGTCTTTACTGTGGGAATCAAAAATTCTTTTCCTAATTTTTATATTTGCTTTTTTGTTTACATTAATACTGAAAGTTATTTTTTGACCAAGATGATCAGAAATATGAGTATCTAATACTTCTGCTACATAAAGTTGACAGTTTGTAAAAATGTTATCAATGCATGTCTTTGTAGCTCTACATATGTGAGGATATTCAGAAACTGATGGCAATATATTAAATGTTTGTAAATGTTTGTAAATGCTTATTTGTAGGTGATGTGTCTCATTAGTGGAACGCTACTATAATTAATTCACGAAAAGGTTGATACCACAGACATAAAAAAACTAATTATTTCACAACTGTACAAAACATTTACTGAAGTAATTACCCACAGGCTTACACAGAAATTTGATGAGTATCAATATAGATATTGATAGACAAGTTAAAGGAGTATAATCGTTTTCTCTGTTCAGCCTTTATAGAATATGAAAAAGCCTTTGATAGTGTGGAACTATGGGCCATCATGTAACCATTGTTAATGACAAACCATGGCGATATAATATCTAGTAACTATTTACAGCAGCACTGGAGGACTTTTTAAGTCAATAAAATGGAGAAGGCAAAGAATTTCTGCAAATTTAGATATGTCAATGATGTAGTTATAATAGAGCCCAACTAGAACGAATTTAGAGAGGATAATGGAAGAGTTACATATGAAATTCCAACAAAAAGAACTTAACTTGAAATGAACCTCAACATAACAAAACTTGGTGAAATTCCATTCCACTAGATATAGATTTTCAACCATGCCATATTGCAATTCTTAGAAGGAATCAAGGAAGATATTTAACGATACTTCTTGGGGTCAATGCCCGCCGCTACCTACCTATATAATTTGGATATTATCAGAACCAGTTGAGAAAAGGCCATCATAGATGTCGGTTGCAAAATCTCGTAAGCTGAATTCACTTTGCTTATTGATATATTAGATATATTGGTACCTAAGTAGTTCGCATCGCATTATTCTTCATAAATATTATCAAGCCAATCATTCATAGTAATCAGTGTTTTATAAAACCTCAGTTATAATTTTCATATAAACACTTCATTTGTTCAAACCATCAGTGTTGCCAGTAGTTCGCTATGAACATAGAAACAACATTCCGCTAAGAAATTCTACTTATAATTATATTTAATAGTGAAATTCTTCTTCTTCTTCAGCCTGTATTCGTCCACTGCTGGACATAGGCCTCTTCCATTTGCTTCCATTGATTTTTACACTTGGCAATTCTCATCCACTGCTTGCCCGCGACTTGTTTGATATCGTCTGCCCACCTCTTATGTGATCTGCTTACTACTCGTCTGTTCTCTCTTGGTCTCAAGTTTGTTAATCTCTGTGTCCATTTTTCGGGATTATCTTGGTCAACATGTCCGACCCATTGCCACTTGAACCTTGCTATACGTTCTGCGACATCAGTAGTCTTTGTTCTTTCCCGAATGTCGATATTTCGAATCCTGTCTCTCAAACGAATCCCTAGCATGGCACTCTCCATCGCTATTTGGGTTGTACTGAGCTGCTCTAAGGTTTTCTTTGTAAAGGCCATTGTCTCCAGTCCTTATGTAGTTACAGGCTAGATACAGTTGTTATAAACTCTATGTTTTAGACACATTGGTATATCTTGATTCTTCAAGATAAAGCTTAACTTGCCGAAAGCTACCCAAGACAATTATATGCATCTTTTTATTTCGGTTATTTGGTTTTCTTTGCCGTTTTTAATGGTATGCCCACGATATATATAGTGTTATACATTTTCAATAACAATATTAGTTGTTAAATTACTCATTACTTTTGTTTTCTGAAGGTTTATTTTAAGACCTATTCTATTTGACTGCTGATTTAATTCCTCGAGCATTTGCTCCAGTTCCTTGTTATTTGTACTAATACTATGTCGTCCGCAAACCTCAAATGACTCCGTACACCATCAATGGTTAGACCTTTTTGCTCCCAGTCGAGCTGTTTGAATACATTTTCCAATGCTAAGGTAAAAAGCTTTGGTGAAATAGTATCACCTTGTCTAATACCTTTACCAAGACGCATTTTTTCAGTTTTTTTCATCATCATTGATTTGGACGTGGAATGTGGCCTGTTCATAAATGTTTTTAATAAGTGTAATGTACCGTGAGTTTATTCGAGCATCCCTCAGCGCTGACAAAAAGGAATAAGTTTCAATACTATGCAAAGCCTTGTGAAAGCCAATAAATGCCATATGTAAATCATGTACATCATATTATGTGGTTTTTTCTACCAGTGTTCTGATGGTTTGTAAGTGATCGTTAGTACCAAACCTTTTTCTAAATCCTGCCTGTTCAACCGATTGATATAAATCAAGTGTAACAACAAACTTATAGGTCTGTAGTTTTCAATATTAGTAGTGTCTTCTTTCTCGTGTAAAAGTAATTTCATCGTTTTCCCACAGACTGGCTATTCTTTTTTCTGTTAGACACTTATTCAAGAAAACTTCCACAACCTCTACAACGATTTTACCGCCCATT